TCACCTGGATGGGGTGGTAGATCGGAGCTGCCCGGACCGCACATACCACCCTCAGATTCTGTAGGTCCAGAACTTGGCCTGGGAGCTATGTTAAGCAAGTGCCAGGTGGTCCTGAAACAGGAGACCTTCTATTAGGCCTCGAAATCCCTAGAAATACTCTCTGGGCATCACAACAGGCATCAAATCCAAAGTCAATTTCAAAATTGGTCTCTGTCCTCAAGAAGCTCCCTTGGATTAACAGGAGAAGCCCGGGTAACTGGGGAACTAATTGCGTGGATGTTTCAACAGGCCTGCTGATAGAAACTAACTCAGCCCTGGGGAGAGACCAAGTAGAAATTATATATGAGCTGGGCCTGGAGGCCTGAGAAATTATCAAGTATATGTCATGCTAGGATGGTCTTGAGCAACTTGGGATGATGTTGAACACATGGTTGTGTGTATTGGGGCCAGGAGTACAGTAGGTTGTTTCTAGTTTGGTTTTGGCCTAGCAAATTGATCAACATTAAAAAAAAAAAAAAGACACTAGTCCATGTTGGCAGAGTTGCAGTAAAACTGGCCTTCTGTTTGCTACTAGTGGGTTAGTTAATTGGTAGAGCCTTTCTGAATTATAGAGACGGTAACTTTAGATGTGTAAAAAGTCGTACAATCATTATGTTCCCTAAGACATGATTTGAAAATTTAAAAATGGAAATAATGTAAATATTCAACAGTGGAAAGTGAAAGTGTTAGTCGCTCAGTCGTGTCCAACTCTTTGCAACCCCACAGACTCCACAGGCTCCTCTGTCCGTGAGATTCTCCAGGCAAGAATACTGGATTGGGTTGCCATGCGCTTCTCCAGGGTATCTTCCCTACTCAGGGATCAAACCCAGGTCTCCTACATTGCAGACGGATTCTTTATCATCTGAGCCACCAGGGAAGTCCATTCAACAATGGATTGTTGATTAAATGATTAAACTCATCTATAAGCTGTCATGCTGAAGTCATTAAAATTAATTACAAAATATTTAATGCCATGTAGTAAATGCTTATATTTGAAAAAATGAGATGTAAGGGAATATATATAAATTTCAAAAGTGAATAAATGTATATTCTTTATTACCACTATATTTGGAAAAATATGTTTACCAATATTTAAATGTTAATAGAACAGTAGCATGAGGACTATTATAATGAGTCTTTTTTTAAAAAAAATATTTTAAAAATATTAATTTTATTTTTCAAATAGTTATTTATTCGGTGGAGTTGGGCCCTAGGTGTGGCCTGTAGAATCATCCTGGGGCTTGAGCTCTCCAGCTGGGGCGTTCCACGTCCCTCACATTGCAGGGATCTGGACCCCCAGGGATGTCCTAAGATGAGTCTTGACTGCCTTAATTCTAGAGGGTTATCCTGGGGGCAGAGATGCTGTCAGGATCTGGAGACTCAAGCGCAAGGCCGTGTCCTGTCTAAGGGCTGGAAGTTGTTAGTGGAGAAGAGTTTTTGACCTTCCATGGTGGTTGTTTGGGAGAAGATAGTTTCTCATGAGCTTTATGATCTCATTTCAGGCAACCTGAGGCCAATGGCAGCCTGAGCGGTCTAGCAAAGCACTGTGGTCTTAGCTTCTGCCATGCTTTTTCAGATATAAAGTGATAAATGTGTTTGAATCATGCTTAAATCATGCCGTGTTTGAGCTGTTAGAATTATGGAGTTATAGGTGCTTTATCTCAGCTAATCCTTAAAATAACCTTGTGAGGAAATCAAGGCTTGGAGAGGCAATGTGGTCACACAGTGTTGGATTTAGGGTTTGAATCCAGATCTGGGTGACTTTAGAATCCAAAAGTTGTTATTTTTCTTTTCCTTGGCTGTGTTGTGTGGCATGTGGGATCTTAGTTCTCCAACAAGGGATGAAACCCATGCCCCTGCATTGAAAGCATGGAGTCTTAACCACTGGGCCACCAGGGAAGTCCCTAGAATCCCAGTGTTCTTAACAATACTGTTCTGGTCTCCACTCTTCTGAGACCTGGTTCTCATGCTGATTTTGACATCCAGGCTGCATATGACTGTCTCTTACCTCCCTGAGCTCCAGTTTCCTCCCTCGTGATAACCCTTATCTCTCAGTGCAGTTGCAAAGAGCTGAGATCAGACACTTGGAGTTTGAATGCCATGGGCATTGTTGAGTGAAAGTAAGAACATCTCACACCTCCACTTCCTCCGCAAAGGAGAAAGTGGGAGCCCAGAGGAGGGAAGAGATTTGTCCAAGTTTGTAGAAGAGCTGAGACTGGAATTCTGGAAATCTCACTCCCATAAAACATTGACCAGATTAAGTGTAACCAACGGTGGCAACAGGGACAAAACAATCAACCATTGGTGTTTGTCTGCCTCCTTCCTCCAGCCCAGGGGAAGAGGCTGGCTCCTGTCATTACCCCAGAATCCTGTGTTGACAGCTTGTTCCTGGGCCAAGCATCCCCTCTCCCCTGGGCGGGAAGGGACGAGACTTCACAGGGTGGGTGGAGGAGGGTGGCTGGCGTGCCAGCCACTGGGCAGATCCTGGGGACCAGGACCTGGGGGAGACACTGGTTTTTTTTTTTTTTTTCATTTATTTTTATTAGTTGGAGGCTAATTACTTTACAATATTGCAGTGGTTTTTGCCATACATTGACATGAATCAGCCATGGATTTACATGTATTCCCCATCCCTATCCCCCCTCCCACCTCCCTCTCCACCCGATTCCTCTGGGTCTTCCCAGTGCACCAGCCCCGAGCACTTGTCTCATGCATCCAACCTGGGCTAGTGATCTGTTTCACCCTTGATAATATACATGTTTCAATGCTGTTCGCTCGAAACATCCCACCCTCGCCTTCTCCCACAGAGTCCAAAAGTCTGTTCTGTACATCTGTGTCTCTTTTTCTGTTTTGCATATAGGGTTATCGTTACCATCTCCTAAATTCCATATATATGCGTTAGTATACTGTATTGGTCTTTATCTTTCTGGCTTACTTCACTCTGTATAATGGGCTCCAGTTTCATCCATCTCATTAGAATTGATTCAAATGAATTCTTTTTAATGGCTGAGTAATATTCCATGGTGTATATGTATCACAGCTTCCTTATCTATTCGTCTGCTGATGGACATCTAGGTTGCTTCCATGTCCTGGCTATTATAAACAGCACTGCGATGAACATTGGGGTGCATGGGGACACTGTTTCTTGCTCGGTTTGCACCAGGCTCCGTGCTGGGCACTGTGGGCAGGAGCAGAAGGTTCTAGAAGCCTGCCCTTCTCATCCTTCCCCAGCCAGAACTATGCTTTCCAGCAGCATTTCATTCATTCTCAAGTTCAGGAAATTGTTAATAATTTTTATTCTATTAATCACTTAATCTATTATCACAGTAAAAAATAAAGTTTTTCTTTTACAGTGATAATTCACAATTGAACACTTTCATAGGTTTTTCATGAGCTGACTTATTTAAGTGTTTTCTAAAATGGGGCTTAGACTATCTTTTTTAAAATCAGAAAACTTTTTTGAGGTACAATTGAAAAATAACATGCTAATTTCAGATGTACAACCGAATGATTCAATATTTGTACACATTGTGAAACGATCACAGTAAGTCTAGCTAACATTTTAGAACATTTTGAAAAATATACAAAATGGCTTAAATTTTTTTTCTACCCCACATCTTGGTCCAGTGATGAGTGCTAGACTTTGACCAACTTTTCACCTCTCTGGGGTGAAATGAGAAAATTAAAGGTGTTCATTGTGTGTAACTTTGAGTAAGATGTTATTTCTCCTTTCCTGAAAGAACTGTCTCGAGCTTTCCCTGGTATATTTTGAAAGGTTAAAATGTCTTCTATTTTATGAAATGATAGTGGTAGTCTGCAAATAATTTTTTTTCAGCATTCTTGCTTGTCAACCCATAACAAATCTCCTATTTGAAAATATTATTTATAAAAACTGAAATCTTAGAGCCACTGACACTGTTTTGTGGTATAGAAAACCATTTAGGGACTTCCCAGGTGGCCAGTGGCTAAGACTCTGCATTCCCAGTGCAGGGGGCCCAGGTTTGATTGCTGGTCGGAGAACTAGATCCCACATGCCACAACTAAGAGTTCACATGCCACAATTAAATATCCTGTGTGCTATAACTAAGACCCAGCATATTCAAGTAAATAAACATTAAATAAACAAATATTTTTTAAAAGTTATTCTAGAAAGCCCTTTTGCATCAGTTCTCTCCTCTGATTCAACCCCCACTGACCAAGGTTAGTTAAAGTGCCTACTAGGTATGGGTCAAATACTTGACTCTGCCAGATGTCCCCTGATCTGCCCTGATGGAATCCTCTTTTGCCTCAGCCTTCTCATTTTTAAATTGGGGGACATGCATATTTCCCAGGTTCTCCTGAAGATTAGCTGAGATAGTGCCTGGTATGACCTGGGTGCAGTATTTCACCTACAACTGTCAGATTATATACTGCCACCTCCACAGAGCTGGGGAAACAGCCCTTCCAGCAGAGAAGAAATGTAGTAAAACTGTGGCTTGAAGTTTGATGCTCTGCCTTCAACACAGGGCACTTGCTGAAAGTTGTGGTAGCCACGGGCCCTGGGGAGGAAGGGGAATTGTCTCTAAGCCGGGGGTTGGGAAGTTTTAAGACGCTTAAAGGCCATAACTGGGATGAGGGTAATAGCATAAGGTCTGGCCAAGTCCATGGAGAAGGAAGATAAGGGCAGGGAGGGGCCCACGGTTGGTAGCCGAGCCAAAGTACAGGAATCTAAGGAGACGTCATCCAGCATCAGGCTCCCTGCTGAGGGTTTCCCTGGCCAAGGTGAAATCCTATCTGAGGACCCCTTCCCCACAGAGTGGGTGCTGCCCTGGGACTCTGAGGAAGAAAGCCTAAGGGAACTGGGCATAGTGTAGGGGTTGGCACAACTGGAATTCCTATCTTGCCTTTGGAAGAGTTACCATAGCATCCATCCTCACATTAACCTCCTACCTTCATCCTCACTGTTATCTCATTTCTTCCAGAGGCGCCAAAGACCAGATCAGCCTCCCAAACCAGAGCCTCAGGAACTGGGTCCCCTCAATGGTGACACAGGTGAGTAGTCAGCCCTATAAATGCCCTCTCTGACATCTGTGAGGTTTCCTACGTTATAATCAACAAACACGATATGGCTATTTAGTTATCTCCTGAGATTTTAGTTAGGTTACTTTAATAGGAGTATCATTTCTAAAATCAGGGGGGCGATAGTTCTTCCCTGATCCTGGCTACCACACCTGGAGTGCCAAGTTTATTTCTGAAAAGCACATTTTCAGAGAAATCCAGAAAAAAATGGACAGAGTACAGAGGAGAAGAATCAGGTTGGTGAGGAATCTGGAAACCATATCCTTTAAGGAACAGTTAAAGAAACAGAAGATGTTGCAATAAAACACAACAGTTCTCTCAAAGTGACTGAAGTGCCCTCACAGAGAAGAAAGATGAGCCTTGTTCAGTGTGACCCAGAGATCAGTACCAGGGCCTGAATGTAGCCAAAACAGACTTGCAGAATTCAGTTCAGTCTCAAAGGAATTTTTTTCTCTGATTGCTGGTTTAAATTAATCAGAGCTACTGATAGAATGAGCTCTCCATCTCTGAAAATGTTTAATTACCACCTGGAGACTATCAGGATATTGTAGATGAACTTAAAGTACCAGATAAGCAACTGGGTCAGAATTTAGTTGTTCTCTAATCTGACTGTACATAAGAATTACCTGGGGTGGATTTTGAAAAATACAGATTCTGAGGCCCCACCACAAACCAACTACATAGGGATTTCTAGGAGTGGGTCTGAAGACTCTGCATTGTTGGTTAGTTAGTTCAGTCACTCAGTCATGTCCAACTCTTTGCGACCCCATGGATTGCAGCACGCCAGGCCTCCCTGTCTATCACCAACTTCTGGGGTTTCCTCAAACTCACGTCCATTGAATCAGTGATGCCATCCAACCATCTCATCCTCTGTCGTCCCCTTCTCCTCCCACCTTCAATCTTTCCCAGCATCAGGATCTTTTCAAATGAGTCAGCTCTTTGCATCAGGTGGCCAAAGTATTGCAGTTTCAGCTTCAACATCAGTCCTTCCAATGAATATTCAGGGCTGATTTCCTTTAGGATGGACTGGTTGGATCTCCTTGGAGTCCAAGGGACTCTCAAGAGTCTTCTCCAACACCACAGTTCAAAAGCATCAATTCTTTGGTGCTCAACTTTCTTTATAGACCAACTCTTACATACATACATGACTACTGGAAAAACCATAGCCTTAACTAGATGGACCTTTGTTGACAAAGTAATGTCTATGCTTTTTAATATGCTGTCTAAGTTGGTCACAACTTTCCTTCCAAGGAGTAAGTGTCTTTTAATTTCATGGCTGCAGTCACCATCTGCAGTGATTTTGGAGCCCAAGAAAGTAAAGTCTGTCACTGTTTCCCCTGTTTCCCCATCTATTTGCCATGAAGTGATGGGACTGGATGCCATGATCTTAATTTTCTGAATGTTGAACTTCAAGCCAACTTTTTTCTCTCCTCTTTTACTTTCATCAAGAGGCTGTTTAGTTCTTAACTTCCTGTCATAAGGGTGGTGTCATCTGCATATCTGAGGTTATTGATATTTCTCCCTGCAATCTTTATTCCAGCTTGTGCTTCATCCAGCCCAGCATTTCTCATGATGTACTCTGCATATGAGTTAAATAAGCAGGGTGACAATATACAGCCTTAACATACTCCTTTTCCTATTTAGAACCAGTCTGTTGTTCCATGTCCAGTTCTAACTGTTGCTTCCTGACCTGCATACAGATTTCTCAGGAGGCAGGTCAGGTGGTCTGGTATTCCCATCTCTTAAAGAATTTTCCACAGTTTATTGTGAGCCACACAATCAAAGGCTTTGGCATAGTCAATAAAGCAGAAATAGACATTTTTCTGGAACTCTCTTGCTTTTTCAATGACCCAGCAGATGTTGGCAATTTGATCTCTGGTTCCTCTGCCTTTTCTAAAACCAGCTTGAACATCTGGAAGTTCATGGTTCACATATTGTTGAAGCCTGGCTTGGAGAATTTTGAGCATTACTTTACTAGTGTGTGAGATGAGTGCAATTGTGCAGTGGTTTGAGCATTCTTTGCCATTGCCTTTCTTTGGGATTGGAATGAAAACTGACCTTTTCCAGTCCTGTGGCCACTGCTGAGTTTTCCAAATTTGCTGGCATATTGAGTGCAGCACTTTCACAGCATCATCCTTTAGGATTTGAAGTAACACAGCTGGAATTCCATCACCTCCACTAGCTTTGTTCATCGTGATGCTTCCTAAGGCCCACTTGACTTCGCATTCCAGGATGTCTGGCTCTAGGTGAGTGATCACACCATCGTGATTATCTGGGTCATGAAGATCTTTTTTGTACAGTTCTTCTGTGTATCCTTGCCACCTCTCCTTAGTATCTTCTGCTTCTGTTAGGCCCATACCATTTCTGTCCTTTATTGAGCCCATCTTTGCATGAAATGTCCCCTTGGTATCTCTAATTTTCTTGAAGAGAGCTCTAGTCTTTCCCATTCTGTTGTTTTCCTCTTTGTTTGCATTGATCACTGAGGAAGGCTTTCTTATCTCTCCTTGCTATTCTTTGGAACTCTGCATTCAAGCGGGTATATCTTTCCTTTTCTCCTTTGCTTTTCGCTTCTCTTTTCACAGCTATTTGTAAGGCCTCCTCAGACAGCCAGTTTGCTTTTTTGCATTTCTTTTCCATGGGGATGGTCTTGCTCCCTGTCTCCTGTACAATGTCATGAACCTCTGTCCATAGTTCCTCAGGCACTCTGTCTATCAGATGTAGTCTCTTAAATCTATTTCTCACTTCCACTGTATAATCGTAAGGGATTTGATTTAGGTCATACCTGAATGGTCTAGTGGTTTTCCCTACTTTCTTCAGTTTAAGTCTGAATTTGGCAATAAGGAGTTCATGGTCTGAGCCACAGTCTGCATTGTTAATGATGGTAAATCTCTGTAATAAGTAGCACCCCCCACACACACAAGTTGGGACCAGTTTGGTCCTGCTAACCAACATTTGAGATCTTGAGCCAAATGACCTATGAGAGCCTGGAACTCTACGATCATGACCACTGCCTCCTCTCACCCCCCTCCCCCAGACCCAGGGCTCCTATCTGATGGACTGACCACTACCTCCTCTCAACCTCCTCCCCCAGACCCAGGGCTCCTATCTGATGGACTGACCACAGCCTCTTTCCTCACACTTCTCATTATACCTTGTACCCAACCTGGCCTATGGAATTCTGTAATAATATTATTACTACATTTATAACAATGCTAACAATGCTAATATAAGCTTCCAATGCTGTCATGAGCCCCGAGGAAGATTTAGAGAACATTTAATGAACTATTGGCATTTTTTTTTGCCGCAGCACACAGGATCTTAGTTCCCTGGCTAGTGGAAACTTAACCACTGGATCACCAGGGAAGTCCTAAAGAGCATTTATTGAACATCTCCAAATGCCTGGCACTACACCTACTTGCTTTTTTTTATTCATTTGTTTGTTGTATTTTTCAGATTCCACAAATAAGTGATTACCTACAGTATTGGCCTTTCTCTGACTTAGTGTGCTAAGCATAATACCCTCTAGGTCCATCCATGTTGTTGCAAATAGCAGACTCTAATTCTTTTTTTTATGGCTGAATAATGTTCCTTTGTATGTTCAGACTTTTGCTGTTGTACATCTTATTTTTTCATTCATATGTCAAAAGATACTTAGATTGCTTCCATGTGTTGGTACACTTACTTATACTTACTGCTTTTTATGCATGAGCAGACAGAACAAGGTGGTAGTTTGGAGTGTTTGCTGTGGAATCAACTTGTGTAGGTTCACAGCCCCTGACTCCAGTTGTGAACTGGGTCATCTTGGACAGGTTGCATAATTTCTTTGTCCCTCAGCTTCCTCATCTGTGAAATGGGAATAATCATAGTAGCCACCACTCTGGGTAGCTGTGAGGATTCAGTGAGTAATACCTGTGAGACACTTGGAGCAGAGCTGGGCATGTTTCTGAACATACTAAGCTGTTGGTACTCTTTGTTGTTGTTGTTTAGTCTCCATATTGTTTACATGCTGTTGTTATTTTCATCGCTATTGTTTTCTGACTTAATCATCTCAATAGCCCTATGAGGTAGGTATCATTATTATCCTGATTTAATGTATTAGGTAACAGAGGCCTGGAAAGGGTTGGTCCCCACCTTAGGTGAGACCCAGAACCTGTTGGACTCAGAGTGACATCACCAGGCCTGTTTTGCAGTTTCCCTCGGCAACGGCTAGGTTTCCTGTTTGTGAGGTCTCCTTCCTGCTCACAGCAGCCCTTCTGTGCTGTGAGGTGTCGCACTCAGATCCAGAGCCCAACAGATAAAGCGTGTGACCACCTGGCCCCTTGGTGAGGAGAGGAGAGGTGAGGACAGTGGTGAATGGCAGGACCACATCCTGGAGGGGGGGGGCCACCGTTCCTCAGGCCAGCTCCTGTTGGACACTGCTACTTCTGTGGCTTCTTCAGGAAGAGTTGGAGGACTTCCCTGTTGGTCCAGCGGTTAACAATCAACCTGCCAGTACAGGGGACACGGGTTTGATCCCTGGTCTGGGAACTAAGATCCCTCTTGCCACAACTGCTGAAACCCGTGTGCCCTAGAGCCCCTGCTCCACAACAAGAGAAGCCACACAGTGTGAGGCCCATGCACTGCAACTAGACGTTAGCCCCACTCGCCACAACTAGAGAAAGCCCGCACAGCGATAAAGACAATAAATAAATAAATAGGAGCTTAAATCAGGACTTTTATAAAAAGTTGGAAATCTGTAGTATTAAGTCGAAGCTGCCCAGTTATTAAGTCAGCCACTGTTTTTTCAATTTAGACACTGGATGGAGCAAACAGCACCTTTATAGGCTGAATGTGTTCTGTGAGTCACCTGCTCTCCTGTAGGTCTTAGGGGCAAAATGAGGCCTCTGGCTCCTCCACTTCATGAAGGAGGGTCTCCAAAGGCAGGGAGATTTAAGGAGCTGCCTCTAGAAGTTGATCCTCCAACTGAAACCATTTTTGATGGGGAGACCAGACTCCCCACGCTGTAGTTCCAGCCTCCCATGCCCTCTCCATTGGGCCTGGACCCAACCTCCACTCTGTGTTTTTTTTTTTTTTCCCTCACCTATAGCCACAACTGACCATGTATGTGCATCTGAGGATGTTGAGCAGCACCAGAAGGCTATCACCAGAATCCTCCAGCAACATGAAGAGGACAAGAAGAAATGGGCACAACAGGTAAATCCCAACCCCTTTCTTTTCCTCCTGCTCCACTAACCTCATTAAATTCCAGAGCAAGGCCAACTTTTGGTTTTATCGTTTTTGCAAGTATTCCTTACTCCTTTTGCCCAGAAAAGAGCCCTGTATCTGAAGAACAAATATTTGTAACTGTGGGCATATAATTTGTTTTATTTATTCTATGCAATAAAAGTGGGGAACCACCAACATAGCCAAGGGCTTTCTGCCTTCAGTGGCATCAGGATTAGAAGACTCCAAAATCTCTTTCCACATGGTAAATCTCTGGAAGCCCCTTCTTAAGCCCTAAAGAGGGAGAAGTCAGTCACATCAGCTATGTCTTGGAGGCCTTGCACCCATCAGCAGGTGGGACTCTGATCACTAACCTCCAAAAAGGCTCCAGGGCTGGTGAGTGGATAAGTGAGGCTGCCCTGAACCTACTGAATCTCATTCTGCTCGGGACCCTCTGCCCCCAGGTGGAGGAGAGGGAGCTAGAACTTGAAGAGAAACTGAATGAACAGCAAAGAGTCCTAGAGGGAGAACATGCGGAGGCCCTGCAAGGTAAGGACGAGATGCACTTGAAAGACTGTGGACCAGACTCCTTCTGTTCCACCTGCCAAGCTCACGTGGGACTCCCATTTCCCCTTCCCACCCACCTCTGGTCCCTAAGCAGTTGTCACTTCAGGACTGGAGTCTGCAGGGTCCTGAGACTTGTCCTTTTGGGCATATAATACTTGACCCCATGCTTGTTTTACCTTAGTTGAAAGGTGTTTTTCCTTTCCATTTTAAAAAACAATCTGTATTCATTATAGGAAATTTGGAAAACCTAGACAAATAGGAGAATGTTTAAATACCCATTTTTCTTTCCCACAATGACAACAACTCTATGCTTAGGTTGATTATTTTTTTCAAATGCCTTTCTTTCCTTTTATATGTGATAATGCTTATCATGGAAAATTTAGAATGTATGGATTAAAAAAATGGTCTTGTAATGGTTGGAGCTCAGGCTTTGCAGCCATGGTCTCAGGGTTTGAATCCCAGCTTCAGCACTTGTCACCTGTGTAACCTTGAAGAAGTCAGTTAACTCTTATTCATAGGGTCTTTTAGAGAGTCAAGCACTTTAATTTACAGATGGATAGATAGATAGACAGGCAGGCAGACGGATGAAGGAATCTAGAACAGTCCCTCATATTTTGCAAGATACTTAGTAAGTATTTATTAGCATTTATTATTTTATTACTGAGAAAATTAAAATTGTGTATGATTCCACCCAGAACTAGTCACTCCTACCCCTTCGATGTAGATCCCTTGTACTTCTTTGGTGTGTATTTACCAAGAATATTCATCTATACACACACCTACTTTGGGGGGAGGAGATAAATTGACTTTTCACTTTGCACTGTATTAACATCTTGTCATTAAACTCCTATAGCACAACTTTTAGTAACTATATAGCATTCCAGTGTGTTCCCTTGTTCTTTTAACTATCCCCTTGGGTTAGGCATTTCAGCAAGTTCAAACTTTTACCATTGTTTATAACATCAATGATACACAGTGAACCCCATTTTGTAAAATCTTTGCCATATTCATAATTTTATCATTAGAAACACATTCTAGTAGAGTTGATATGACAAAGTTTAAGTACATATATCTTTTATTTTGGCAAAATAAACATAAAATTTACCATTAGTGACATTTTATCTAGTCACAGTCCCCTGAAACCATCACCACTGTACCCTTCCAGAACTTTCTCACCCTAAAAGCAAACTCCATACCCACTAAGCAGTCAGTCCCCAACCCCATGCTCACCCTTCCAGCCCCCCAGCAACTACCAATCTGCTCCGAGTCTCACGACTTTGTCCACTGCAGGCACTCATGTAAGTGGAGTCCCACAACCCCCACAGTTGGCTTCCTTCACCCAGCATAAAGCTCATCCATTTTGCAGTGTGCATGGGCATTCCACTCCTTTCCCCAAGCCCATTTAAAAAATTATTCCATTCCTTTTTGTGGTGTATAACATTCCATCACCTAGGCACCCCACACTCTCTTTTTTATCCATTCATCTGTTGATGGATGGGCTGTGAACAAGTGCCATCAATACAAGCACCTGGTTGATCATCTGCTTTCAGTTCCCCTGGGTGTAACCCCCAGGAGCAGAACTGCTGGGTCATTTGGTAATGCTATGCTTAACATTTTGAGAATCCACCAAACTGTTTTCCATAATAGCTGTACCGTTTTTCAGTTCCAACAGCAATACACAAGAGTTCCAGTTGTACCACATCCTTGCCAATACTGGTTAGTTTCTGTCATTGTTGTTCTTATTATTATTGCCATCCTAGTGAATGCAAAGTGATATCTCACTGTGGTTTCGACTTGTATTTCCCTAATGACTAATTTTGCTGAGCATCTTTTCATATGCATGTTGGTTATTTGTATAGCTTCTTTGGGGAAGGTTATCTAGATTTTTGATGCCATTGAAATTGACATAAAAAAATGATACCAATTTTTTTTTCATCATCAGTATTTTTATGACTTTCTCCCAGAATTTTTTATCTTTTAAAAACACAGTTAAGATTATTTTATATGTAAAATTTTATATACTGTTCTTTTTATTTAACATTGTGTCAAACATGTTGGCAAGTAAAATTCCTCTGCTGCTAAAATGTTTGTAAAGTCTAAACCACTGCACACACGGTTTTCCCTATTTCCTGTGAGTCTAGACATAAAGATCTTAACTACTGTTTAAGTAATACTGCACTAAATGTGTTTTGCCTAAAGATGTGCCCATATTTTACATTATATCCTTAGATTTTCAGAAATAGAATAACTAGAACAGAGGTCTGAACAGTTTTAAGGATCTTGAAACATATTGCAACATTAGCATAAAACATTTTGAAATAGTATTGAAGCCTTTGCCCTGGGAATTTGAAGGGTACTAATGTACCCTGTGAAACTGAGCCTGTCGGTTGACCTTAGTTCACTTTCTACAGTATCTCTGAAACTTACCTTGAATCTCATTTCAGTATCTATATCTCTAAAATCCTTCCTTCCTTCTCAAAGCTGTTATGGTAAAACAGCTTTCTTTTCCGCACAGAGCACTGATTTGATGCTAGTTTTAATGTTATAAAGATACTAATAAGACAGTTTTCCTATTGTAAAAACCCAGAGGGGAAGGGACTGCCTGTCTTGAGTTCTTCCCAACAGTCAGAATCCTTTCATAGTTATTTTTCAGTTGCTTGGCACCTGTTAGGTGCTGTCTAAGGCTTGCCTGGTGGCTCAGTGGTAGAGAATTTGCCTGCCAATGCAGGAGATGTGGTTCGATCCCTGGATTGGAAGGATTCCCCTGGAGAAGGAAATGGCAGCCCACTCTAATATTCTTGCCTGGAAATCCCACAGACACAGGAGCCTGGTGGGCTATAGTCCATGGGGTCGCAAAAGAGTCAGACACAACTTAGTGACTAAATGACAACAAAGTGCACGTTAAATAAATGACTAGAAATATACCACGGGGGACGTATGACTGGGAGAGGCCAGTGATTTTTTTTTTAACATTTGATGACACTTTATTGTCTTTTATTTTCTATTTTTGTTTTTTAGTTATTATACATTAAAATGGACTTTCTAATGTAGCTTCATAAACGTTAACACATGTATAGATTCATGCAGCCACCACCATAATCCAATATAAAACAGTCCCATCACCCCCAAAACACTCTCTCAGGCCATTTGTATCCACATCCTCTCCCACCCCAACCCCTGGAAAACACTGATCTGTTCTCCACACATGGTTTTGTCTTTTTAAGATTATTACAGAAACAAAATAACACAACATAATATTTAACATTGGCTTCTTTCCCTCATCATGGTGCATTTGAGAGTCATCTAAGTGGCTGGGTGTATCAGGAGTGCCTTCTATTTCATGGCTGAATTGTGATCCATTGTTCACTCATCCTCTTGTCCAAGTGGGGACAGGTCATTTCCAACTTGAAGTAATTATGAATAGTGCTCTTCTCAACATTCGTGTAAGGCTTCTGTGTTTTCTTAAGTTTCCTGGGTAAATATCTAGGAGTGGGGTGGATAGGTCACATGGTACATGTATATTCAGCTTTGTGAGAACTGACTAAACTGCTTTCCTAAGGGACCATCATTTTACATTCCCATCAGTGATGAATGAATTCCACTGTTCCTTTTCACTAACACTTGTCAAGACTTTATTTTTTTGCTGCTCTAATAAATAGGTAGTGACATCTCATTGTGGGTATAGTTTGCATCTCGATAATGACTAATCATGTTGAACATCTTTTCCTCAGTTTATTTGCTGTCTGTGTAACCTCTTTGGCAGAATGTCTGTTAAAGTCCTTTGTATCTAATTAGCTTGTTTTGTTCGTACTATTGGGTTTTGAGATATCTTTATATATTTTGGATACAGGTCCTTTGTATTTACAAATATTTTCTCCTAGTCTGTGTGTGTGCGTTTAAGGTTTGTTTGTGGGTTTGTTTGTTTGTTTGTTTTTCATTCTCTGATTAATGGTTTTCACAAAGCAAAGCTTTTAATTTTAATAAATTCTAGGTCATTTTTTCTTTTATCAATTATGCTCTTGGTGTCATGTCTAAGAACTCTTTGCTGAACTCTAGGTAACAAAGATCTTCTCTCTTTTCTTCCAAAAATTATATGGCTTTCAGTTTTACATTTATATCTATGATCCATATAATCATGTGATTTCCCTTTTTTATACTATTAACATGGTAGGTTACATTAATTTGAGCTTTCAGTTTTTGAACTTACATTAACAAAACCTCTCTTAGTCTTTTTATATGTTGCTGAACTTGATTTGCTAATATTTTATTGAAGATTTTTGTCTGTGTTTATAAGGGCTACTGGTCTATAGGTTTCTTGTACCATCTGTCTGGTTGTAGTATCAGGGCAAAGCTTGCCTCATGGAATGAGCTGGGAAATGTCCCTTCCTTTTCTATCTCTGGAAGAGATTGTAGAGAGTTGTACTATATCATTTTAAAATATTCAGTAGAATTTGTCAGAGAAACCTAAAGATTTAAACAGATATTTGACCATGGAGGATACACAGATACCAGATAAACACAAGAAAAGACATGCCATTTCTGCCATTTCTTTTCCAGGCAGTATTTAAGTACAAATTTAACTTCAATGGGCTTCCCTGGTGGTTCAGCTGGTTAAAAATCTGCCTGCAATGCAGGAGACCTGGGTTCGATCCCTGGGTTGGGAAGATCCCCTGGAGAATGGAAAGGCTACCCACTCCAGTATTCTGGCCTGGAGAATTCCATGGATTGTTTAGTCCATGAGGTTACAAAGAGTTGGACGTGACTGAGCAATTTTCACTTTCTTTTCTAACGTAAGCCCTTAATGCTAAAAATTTCACCCTAAGCACTGCATTATCTGCATCCTAGAAATTGATGTTTTATAATTTTTGTTCAGTTCAAAATATCTTCTAAACTCCCTCAGGATTTCCTTTTTAGCTCACTGACAATTTAGAAGGGTATTTCCTTCTAGGTGTTCGAACATTTTCCAGTTCTCTTTTTGTTACCGGTATCCAGTTTGATTCCTTTGCAGTCAGAGAACATAGTTTATAGTTCATTCCTTTTTTAACTTGTTACAGCTTATTTTATGATTCAAGATGTGGTCTATCTTATGAATGCTTCATGTGCACTCAGAAAGAATGTGTATTCTGCTGTTGAGTACTTTATAAATTAATCAGTTAAAACAAGTTGGCAGTATTGTTCAGGTCTATATTCTTACTGATTGTCTGCCTATGTTTTCTATCGAATATTGAGGAATGTTAACGCCTTCAATTGTAATTGTGTATTTGTCTGTTTCTCCTTTCAGTTCTGTCAGTTTTTGCTGCATGTAATTTGAAGAATGACTATACTTGTATAGATATTTAAGGTTGTTATGTCTTCCTGGAGAATGGACCCCTTTATCATGATGTAATGTACTTCTTCATTCCTGAGAATCTTCCTTATTCTTAAATGTTGGTTTTTCATTCTTTTACTTTTAACCTACTTGTGACATATTTAATATAGGTATCTTGTAGGTATTAAAAAGAGCTAGTGAACTTTTGAAGATCCATAGAAATTACCATAAATCTGAACAAAAGCCAAACAAATATTGGGAAAAAATGGACAGAGCCTCAGGTATCCATAAAATAATCCTAGGATGTCTGACATTTGTGTCAAAGACTCAGAAAGGATTCTGTGAAGAAAAACTATTTGAAGAAGGAATGGTTGAATGCTTCCCAAATTTGGCAAAAAATAATCCTACAGATGAAAGATGCTTATTGAACCCCAAAGCAAGCCCACCAAAATCCACACTCAAACATATCTCTTTTTTTAAACTAATGACAAAAAAAAAATCTGGAACAGAACCAAAGAAAAATGGTGCATTACATAGAGGAAATAAGTTTGAATGAATTGTGGATTTCTCATTAAAATGTTTGAAGGCTAGAAGGAATAAGAATATTTTAAAACTACTAAAATAAAAGAACTGTAAATCAAGAATCCTATCTTCAGAAAAAAAAGTGTTCTTCAGGAAAGAAGGTGAAATAGAGACATTCTAGATGAAGAAACACTAAAAGAATTCATCACCAACAGACTCTTTTTTACATCATCTCTGTTCCTCTATTGACCCCACCAAGTGAGTTTTTACTTCATTTTTTTTTTGTTCTAAAATTCCCTCCTGGTTTTAATGTTTGGTTACACTTTCTGATTTTCATTCTTTGGAAGAGCATTAACCTTTATTTCAGAGCACTTATAGCAGTTTCCTTAAGGTCCCTTCATAATTCCAACAGGCTTCCCCTGTAGCTCAGTCAGTAAAGAATCTGCCTGCAATGCAGGAGACCTGGGTTTGATTCCTAGGTCAGGGAGATTCCCTGGAGAATGAAATCTGTGGCACCTCAGTGTTGGCATCTGTTGAACGTCTTTTCTCGGGACAGATGAGATTTTCCCACTTTGTGTGCTGAGTATTTAGACTTGTCACCTGAGGAATTTTGGATTTGTATGCTGAGCAATTTTGTATTGCATTCTGAACATTTTGCATATTTGAATACATCAGATTCTGGGTCTTGTTTAAATAAATACATTGGTTGAGCAGCGCTTTGAATTCTGATCTTCTTGCCCAGTCTGCCTGCCACCATTTACTGTTCAGAGTCTGAAAATAGTTGTGCCATTCATTCTGTCCTGGTTTTATAGCTAAATTCAGGAGACTGAGTGGCATATGCTTCCTCCATCTTACTTGGAACCAAACCTGTCTTGATAATTTATCTGTCCCATAATTTATCAAGAAGTTTTAAATTAGTTGTTATAACAATTTATATAGTTTTTATAGAGCTGACCTTATCAATTTTGACAGCTCTATCACATTTATATTACTGAGCATTCTCTGCCCCTATGACACAGGCCCCTTGCATACCTGGGCTTTTGGCTATATTACACTTTCCTGTTCTCTGTCCTGTTTCCCATCCCACCCAGGGACTGGTCATTTCCCTCTCGTCTTCTTTCAATGGAGACAAGGTTGGAATTTTCCGAAAGGAACTTTGTAGAGGAGGCAGGATGCAAGATCTTCCCAGGATCTCATTTGTTTCCCTTTCCATGAGCTTCTATTAAATATCTACTATAGTTCTGGTTCAGCCCCAAGCCCATGAGATAGAAAGATGAATAAAAGCATTCTCAGACTCCTGACCCCTATGGTCCCAAGGGGCCACCTGGGCTCTCTGGCCCTCGTGGGGTGAAGTGTCAGGGGTCTGAGCTCACTGTATATCCTTTCCCTCCAGCCCTCCAGGCCTCCTATGAGCAGGACAAGGAAGCCCTTACCCACTCCTTCCAGGAGGCCAAGGTGGCCCTGCAGGTGAGAAAGTTTGGGCTGTGTGAGTCTCTGTGATGTGGCGACCCTACTGTCAGCTCAGGAGGTCTTGGTCTGAGATGAGGGTTGGCCTCTTTCAGGGATGGTTGGGAGCATCTTGGAGACGTCGTGGGCCTGGGGCCATGGTGTGATTAGAGCCGTGGGTGGCTGCACAGTGAGCCATGGAAGCATGAAGGAAAGCCTCTGACCCAGATTGACTGGTCAGGGATTTCCTAGAGAGGGTGAGGTCTAAGCTGGAATCTGAGGGTAGGTTGGAATTTTTCAGATGAAGAAGGCTAGGAAGAGTGCCTTAGCAGAACAAACAAACAAACAAAAAACACATGTTTAAATGCATGGAGCAAAGGGGGGAAAATACAGAGTGCCTGTGGAACTGAAACAAGTCCAGGAGGCCTGAGTATAGAGCGTGAGGGGGACACAGGGGAGGCCAGAGAGGCAGGCAGGGACCAAACAATGGGAGTCTGTGAGCCCTAGTCAGGGGGTGCCCTACCCTAGAGGTGATGTACAGAGTTTAGATGGAGCAAAATCCTTGATGGGGAGCAGGATGGAGACAGGCATGTACCTGGCAGCTGCAAGAGTGATGTGATGTTGGCTGCAGGAGAAGGCATGTAGAAGGAGCAGGGAGAGAAGAGACGGGGCAAGGACCTGAGCCTGGTTTGCATGTACTTTGAATGCCAGTCTGCCACCAGCCTGGAATACCCTGACATCATCCCCAAGGGTATGGAGAGGTGGGGCTGTATGTTTTGAACAGTGGTTGAAGTAGCTTAAGCCTGCAGTGCTGGGCAGAGCAAAGACAGACTGAAGAAGCCAATGCTGACCCCTCCCCGGGGGGTGGAGAAGTCCACCTCCAGCCTTATGAGCCAGGCTTGCATCATCTCCTGCCTGCTCCCCCCTCCAGGAGACCATTGACAGACTGACTGCACAGCTGGAGGCCTTCCAGGCCAAGATGAAGAGGGCAGAGGAGTCCATCCTGAGCCGAGACTACAAGAAGCACATCCAGGTAGGTGGCGGTCCCCACAGCCTGTCCTCCTTCAGCCTGCAGGAAGGTCCAGGTCTGGGCAACAGGAAAGGCCAGTCCCTCTTCAAGGCTGGGGCTAGAACTGATGCTGTTACCTTAATGAGGGTCTGTAAGAAACAGTGTCCCAGTGTCACTGAGGGGGAACGTAAAGATCAGAGAGAGGCACATGGGTGGTCAAGTGCTCACACTCTGGACTCAGAATGAAGTGCCAGGAGCAGACCTACCACTTAGCAGAAGCAACTTAACCTCTGTGAACCATGGTTTCCTCGTCCATGATGGTGCGAGCGCAGCATGCACTGTTGGAAGAGAGTAAGATACAGCACATTAAGCACTTGCCATGGGCCAAGAAGGAGAGGTGACTTGTCAAACACAGTTGGGGGCAAAATGGGGAGGAGGGAGGTAGCCCACTCTCCCCATCCCCCTCCCACTCCCCGCTCCGGCTGGTCTAAGGTCCCTCTGTGTTCCCATCTAGGAGCACGGGAGCCTCAGCCAGTTCTGGGAGCAGGAGCTGGAGAGCTTACACTTTGTCATCGAGATGAAGAATGAGCGAATCCATGAGCTGGACAAGCGGCTGATCCTCATGGAGACAGTGGTACGTGGCTGGCAGCGGCTGGAATGGAGGGATGGGGAAGGGGGGCTGGGGGGAGGCAGCCTCACGCTTCCACTTTCTGGGCATTTCCTCTGTCGTGTGTGCAGAGGGCAGGTATTAATTATACTCTGAGGGGGGCCCAGCCTGGTCCATATCAGCTTTGACCTGCCGCCCGTGCTGGCCCTTGAGTCACTGGGGCTGGTCTGGGCCCCGCAGTGGCTCCTTCTCAGCTGGTCCTGTACTTTTGACTAGCGTATTGCTGTCACTTAAGTGACACCAGGGCAAGTATCCTGGCTAACCAGGAGGGGCTGGCAGATGTCACAGGTCAGGCAGGGGTTGAGGAAGTGGAAAAGAAAAAAAAGTCAGACAGATAATAGGAAACCAGAGTCAGCAAGGACGGGCCTGGGCAGTGGTGGGCGCTGGGGACACCAGTGGCTTTGTCTCCAGAAGGAAGGTCTTGGGGGACTTAAGATTGAATCCAAACAGATTATGTTACATTGTCCTGGAAGAAGTTCCCTGGCCTCTTTTGTGCCACACAACCTAAATTTTAAGCCAGACCATTTCAGTGGTTCCATATCCATTTTGTTCAACCATTTTTCGTGGAATAGCATAACAGATACACTTACATTTATATACATTTTATACTTCTGTCTTTTGGAGAACTAAACTATTTTTTTTCCTCGGGAACTTGGGGAGATTTTAGATGGTAGTGGCTGTCTTCTTTTTTTAATACTCATCTGGCGAAGTGAAAAGTTGGCAGTCCTGTGTTCACGCCTTAGTTGTGTTGTTCCAAGTAATCTTACCGCCTCATGAAATGTAACATTTGGTCTAGAGTGAATCAGTGTTTTGGGTGGCCACGGATAAGAGGGAGGTGATAGCACAAGTTGTGCCGGGGGCTTTCTGAGCTCACTCTGATCTGTTACAGAAAGAAAAAAACCTGCTGTTGGAGGAGAAGATCACCACCCTACAGCAAGAGAACGAGGACCTCCACGCCCGAGGCCGCAACCAGATGGTTGTGTCAAGGTAGCTTCTCCCACGCCCTGCTCCTCCCCTCCCCACCGCTTACTTTTTGTGAATCTCCAGTTGGGAGTCTCCAGGAGGTCCAAGCCTGTCTGGGGGAGGAGGTTGACTCCTCTTTGCTTAGGGGTCAGGAATCCCAAGGGACCAGCTCTGCCCGGAAACAGAAGTAGCAGGGCTGATTAATATCTGTTTATCCCCATCCCAGCTGAGTGGGCTCCATGGGAAAGCCCAGTTCAGGAAGAAGGAACAGGAAGCTTAGGGTTCAAGAGGCCAAAAGAATGAATGAATCAGTGGTAAGGGGTCGGTCAATGAGAGCTGAGATCATGTGTCAGATGTAATTTGTTGACAACATATTATCTCATCTAATCCTAATCATTATAATGACTCTAAGAGCCGGTCCTGTTAGCATTCCCACTTTGCAAATTTGCGCAGAGTGAATACCTGGTGCAGAATTACACTTCTTAGTAGTGGAGCAGACTGAACCCAAAGCTGAGGGCCACCTTGGTCAACAGCTGGAGTTGCCTTTTCAAGTGGGGCCACCGGGCAGGCTTCCTGGAGGAATGGGCTGGTCTTTGCAGTTGCTGGAGGCCCCGAGAGGCGGTCCCCTCAGGCAGCGCTGGCTGTGTCCACAGGCAGCTCTCGGAGGACCTGCTTCTTGCCCGTGAGGCCCTGGAGAAGGAGTCACAATCACGGCGGCAGCTCCAGCAGGAGAAGGAGGAGCTGCTGTACCGGGTCCTCGGGACTGACACCGCCCCTGCCTTCTCCCTGGCCTCTGTCACCCCCACCGAGGTCTCCTTCCTGGCCACATAGGGCCTGGGCCACCAGGATGCCTGCAGTCACAGCTTCCTCTAAAGACCTGGTAGAGAGGCAGCAGGGGTCGCTTGTCCTTTTCCCAGGAGGGGATGAGGGCGGGAGTGAGACGGGGAGCCAGGGTGTGTGCCCAGCGAGCCCTGGGGACTTGGGCCACACAGAATCACCTGGGGGCTGCCTAGGCCCCGAGCAGCTCCCTCCCTCTAGCCGGGGGACAAGGGAGAGGTACCCTTTTGTTCCCCCACCCCCACCCTTCTCTCTGTTCAGGTCAGGGAGCACCGAGGCTTTCCCCAGGGGCAACCATGCCACCCTGGGCATCCGACCAAGAGGGAACACGCCCCTGGTCCTAACTTGTCAGCTTTGCTGCCAGCTCCTCAGTGACCTAACTTGCCCCAGCCACCTCACCCCGCCTGGCCTTTTCTCAGCCTCTAAACCAGTTAGGGCAACTGAACAGACCGCCCTTGAGTCACTCACTGTTCCATTCTAGACTTGTCTGAAGGTCAGACCAGGGGCTGGGGGGTCAGCAAGGGAGGATGGGGGCCACACGCTGTGAATCAAGGTGGGGAGGCACTGGAGTCCCTTGCCCACTGGGCAGAGCATCAGGCACGCCACCAGCGCCAGGCCCAGAGTCTGGTCCATCCAAGGGCTAAGGCCAGAGCTACTCCTCCTGGACCAGGCAGGGTTTACCCACCGCCCTCCTGCTCCCTCAGCCTCAGCACCATCAGGACTCGGGTGCCCCCTAGTGGATCTAAGTACCCTCAACAGCCAGAGCTGGAACCTCATCCCCGTGCAGATGAGGAAACCGAGGCGGGGAGAGGGACCCAGAGCCAGGCCTGGGGCTCATCTGTCATTGGAGGGTACTGTCTCCCTCCCTGAAGTCTAGGAGGCCGTGTATGAGACGTGGCCTTTCTCCTTGCTCTGTCTGCCCCGCCCTGTCCAGTCTCTCAGTCCTGCTCTCCACTCAGCCCCTTCTAGCAGCCCAACCCCAGGCCTGTAGACCCTGGCCCTCAGCCTCCCCACCAGCGCAGAGGGGTGTCTGGAATAACTAACCTCGGCAGGCCTGTCCAGGCCTGACCATCTGTGGAGTCAAGATTCTTCTCAGGAAGCGTTGGGTCATCTGGAGACAGTAACAATCCTGTCTCTGTATAAGCATTTTGATTAAATGCCTTCACATACACCTCGCTCCCCATCTGTGAAAGATTCTCAAAGCAGCTTCTTTCCAAGCGTTAGCAGAGAGCACACTGCGATCACAAGATCCAGTGGCCTTGCTTGAGGTCCCCCAGCCCCCGGGGGCCAGTGTGTAGGAAAGGTCAACTCATGGGAACAGAGGTTTCCTCCATCAACCCAGACCGCTTTCTTCATTCCCCTTGATCTGGGCTTCATCCATTTCTCCTTCGAGGTGTTCAGATGTGACTGTGCGTCTCCAAACCTATGCAAACACATTATCCAGGAGCCTTGGGGACAGCTCTGGATGTGAATGGTCACAACCGAGAAAAGAAGGGGTGGCCAAGTATTGGGGAAACTCTAAGTTCACTCAAGTTACACAACTCTGCTGTTGGCTCAGATGGCAAAGAATCCACCTGCAATGCGGGAGACCTGGGTTCAATCCTTGGGCTGGGAAGATCCCCTGGAGGAGGGCATGGCAACCCACTCCAGTATTCTTGCCTGGAGAGTCCCATAGAGAGGAGCCTGGCAAGCTAGAGTCCATGGGGTCGCAAAGAGTCAGACATGACTGGGCAACTAACCACACAGGTTCACTCAAGTTCTACAGCTCTGCAAATTGCAGGACTTCTCAGAGCCTTTAATATGCTAATCTGCACTGCAAACTCAGAGGGAAGGAGCAAAGAGTCCAGCGTCTCTTAAACATCTTTAACCAAGTTTCTCCCCCAACCTGAGCACTTCAGGCTGCAGAATGCAAATTAGAAAACATTGTTCTAATTGAGAAGCGCCGGGCTGGAGATGGGGCAGGTTGAGGGAGGTGGGGTTTCCCTCCTGTAGCCTGTGGTGGCTGTGAAGAGGTGAACTGCGATCATATCTTCACCCTGGGGCAGGCAAGCTATGGAAAATAAAAAGAACACCGGATACTGCATTCATTTGGCCTCTGCTTTCCTGGGGAGAGAGGAAGTGGGAAGAAGGCCTCTGCTGGGGGCAGGGTTCCTTGCGGAGTAAGTCCTAGGAGCTGAGGGACCCACCAGCAGTTCTGGACTTCTCGGAAACTGGTGTCCCGTGGGCCCTGGCCTTGCCCAGACTTGGTGTGGGGGCTGGGGCTGGAGTAAAGCCTGGCTCAAATCCTGCCTGTCAGAATAGGCCAAGGCTTGGAGTGAGGCCCTGAGGCTGAAACAAGACGTGAGAGCACTGATGGGCTGGCAGAGGGTAAGGATGATGGTGAAGGTTCTTTCTGCTGTGTAGGGGGCACCTCCTTGGCATCAAAACCAAGGTTCACACAGTTACCTACCCCTGCTTCTATCCGCTGCTCTACACCTGGATGCCAGGAGTCAGGGTGCAGGGGGGCACAAGGACATGGGTGGTAGCTGTCCCCACACCCTGAGGGTTCCTGGCCTGGCAGGTATCAATGGCAGCATCCCTGGCCCAGGTCTTTTCCACACAGAGGGTGTTCCCTGCAGCCTACCTGGCTCTGCTAGCACATCGTGTCCAAGTCGCTGTGGGCCTGGTGCTGACATCAGGGGGTGGACCCAGCTGCACGGACAAAATTTTACTGTCTATCAGCTGCCCCAGGTGCTATCTCTGAATGGGGCTCGGTAGGCAGATAAGAGGCACAGTGAAAGTAGAGTGACTTGGCCATGGTCACACATCAGTATCAGAGCGCCTGAAAGCCCATGTTTTGTGGACAAAGATAAACTGTTCAGGTCCCTGGAGAGAAGCTGAGGGCTCCTCCCGGGCTGGAGGAGAGGCATAAGGTAACTCGGTGCTTCCTAGAATGGGTTTTGTTGCACTCTTCTGTACCAAGGTCGCTGAAGCTTAGATGGTGGGCTTAGGGAGAAAGAAGGGTGTGCCATGAGAGAAGGGGAGAGACATGGGTACACACATGTTGAACTGATTGTTAGAATGGTTGGAATAAAGATCTGACTCAGAGCCTGAACTAAATGGCTGAGTATGAGGACGTGGAGCCCACCTCCCCCCACAAACACACCAAAAACACATCTACGTGTGCAAACAAGTCTCTCAGAATACTATCCAGAAACTGGAAGAGTTCCTGTGTAACCAAGGGTACGAAAAGATTCCCACAGAATCAGGTAGGATGGGAAGAAAAGCACTGGGTCAAAGCCTGTGACCCTGGGAGGGGACTGAGAAGGAAATCTGATCACACGAGTGGACACTCGTCCTGGGGAGTGAGCGGGTGGAGCCACAGACTGGACGTTCCAGCCCTGGGGTCCCACACAGAAGGGACAAGCCCTTGTGGCTGCCTGGAGAACCAGTGGGACCGACAGAAATGCTGGCAGAGCCTAGACTCCACTCATGAGGAGTACACGGGTGCTGGCCTGTCAACAGACAGGGCAGAGAGGTCGGCCCTAGCAACAGCCACCTCGCCACAATCCCCGCTCTTGAGCGAACACCCAGCCCACTCAGTCCACACCACAGCCTGGCACTGGGTCCAGGACAGCCAGGACCCGGGAACAGAGCGTCTAGGGATGCAGAGGTGACCCAGGGGCCTGGGGGGTGTGTGGTCCAGGTGGGGCAGCAGTGGCCATTGGTGGCACTTGCTCTAAAGGCACCACATAGTATTTTATAATAGCTGTAAATGGAGTATAATATGTAAAAGTTTTGATTCACTATGTTGTACACTTCTAACATATTGTATACTAACTATACTTCAATTAAAAATTATAAAAATGAAACTTTAAAAGAGGGAGACGTTGGTCCCATCCACTGGAACCTCTGGAGTGGGGAACTCCCAGTGCAGTGTCCCCTAGGCCAGGGGGTTGGTCACCGGACAGGGAAGCAGAACTGGCCGATAACCTCACAGCTGTACTGTCTCATACAATCCTCCCTAAGGGCAAAGAACAGCTCCTCTGGGTCTGGAAGGAGAGAATGAGCTTGCCTGACTTCTAGCTTCCTGGTGCTCTACCACTAGCTACAAGCAGGAGGTCCCTGGTGGGGACTTGAAATCCCACTTTTTCTCCCCATCTCCGTTCCCCGTGCTCCTTGCTCTCTTACACAGGGTCCTGCACTGAAGACTAAAAACCAGTTTGCTAGTTTCGGTTTGTCATCAGTTTGCTGTGCATCTGCAATCTCTTTCTCTCCCTGTCTGATCTTAGTGTCTTCATTTGTACAATGACGGTGTCATACCAGTTGGTCTCTAAAGGGCCCTTTGTGGAAAACATCACTGGAAGTACTGAACTAGAAGTCCAGGTTTCTGATTTGATTCCTAACCTTGCCACCTGCTAGCTGTGGGACCTTAAACAAATCCCTTTCTTCCTGTGAGCCTTGGTTATTTATCAAGTGGAAGCAATAATCCTCCTCTGGCCTATTTTGCAGAGCTGATAAGAAGCAAATGAGATACTGGATATGAGACGCCAGGCCTGTGGGAGGCAAATGTTCATCAAACACTTTCATGGTACTTTGAGCAACACAATCTCAAATCAGATTCTTCGGTACATCATGGTACAGTGAGTAGGAATTATGAATATCTGGAGACCAGTTTTCTAGAGCAGTGCTACCAATAGAACTTTCTGTACTGGCATCTGTGTTGCTGAATATGTAACCACTAGTCACATGTAGCTATAGGGCTCTTCAAATGTAGCTAGTGCAAGGTGGGAACAGAATTTTAAGCTTTTAGTTAATTTGGATTTAAATAGCCACATCTGTTAAAAGCCTTCTGTGTTGGGTGAAGCAGCTCAGAGGTAGACAAACGCATAGATTTCTTAACTTTGCCTGCACAGTAGAGTCACTGAGATGCTTGTAAGATAACCAATTCCTGGGCCCCACCCCCAGACCAAACCCATAGGAACATGGCTTGAGGTGAGGATTTAGTGCCAGTAGTTTTAAAGTTCCTCAGTTGGGGTCTTTCCTAGTGGTCCCAGTGGCTAAGACTCCATGCTTCCAATGCAGGAGCCCAGGTTCGATCTCTGTTCAGGGAACTAGATCTCTGAACTGCAACTAAGAGTTGATGCTGCAACTAAGAGTTGACATGCAGCAATGAATATAGAAGATCCTGTGTGCCGCAACTAGGACCTGGCACAGCAAAATAATAAATCAATAAAAAATATTAAAAAAAAAAAAACACACCTCCCCCGGTGACCCTAATGTGCAGCTATAGTTGAGACACACTGCTTATCAAATCTTCCTGAAGATTGAAATCACCTATAGGACTTGTTAGGCTTCTAGAATCTGTCCAGACTTAATGGCAGGGGGGTCTAAGAATCTGTTTTTAACAGGCTCCCAAGTGATGCTGATAGTCATGGTCAAGACCTTCTAAATTGGATCATCATTACTGTTACGGTTGGAATTGAGTAAGACAGAGACACT